CCCTAAATTGTTTTCATTCCCTTGAGTGTTCAAATAGTGTTTTCTTTGTGTAATACATTCCTTATTACAGCTCTGCTACTCTCCAGTGTGTTAGTATTCAGCAAGTTACAGAACCTGTCTGACTCTGAATCCCCTTTTCTGGATATAGCATTATTGGGAGGATCAAATGAGCTAACTTTTGTAGAGGGTTTCAACAATGACATGCATTAAGAGAGAAAGAATCAAAAAGACAACTTACCAGTGTTGAGAAGGATGTTGAGAAACTGGAACCTTCATAAACTGCTGGTGAAGCTGTAAAACTGCACATCTACTTTGTAGAGCCATTTGGTTAGTTCCTTAAAACGTTATACACAGAGTAGGCCATGTCCCAGTAACTCCATCCCTAGGTATAGACCCAAGAGAAATGAAAACATGTCCCACAAAAACTTGTATGTAAACATCCATAATGGAATTATTCATAACAGCCAAAAGCAGACACAACCCAAGTGTCCGTCGACAGATGGATGAATAAACAAATGCAGTAGCCATATCACACAATGTTATTCAGCCATAAAAAGGAATGAAGTACTGACACCTGCCACAACATGAATGAACCTTGAAAATATTATGTTAAATGAAAGAAGCCAGCACAAACAGGCATATGTTGTATGATCCCATTTATGTGCAATGTCCAGAGTAGGCAATTTCAGAGAGACATAAAGTAGATTCATGGTTGCCAGGGGCTGGTGGAGAGGGAGGTATAGTGATTGCTAATGGGTTCAGAGATTCATTTTAGGGTAAATATACTAAAAACTACTTCCAAGAGGTGAGTTTTATGTTATGTGAATTACATCTCCATAAAGCTGTCATAAGAAGAGGAAAGAAGATACAGGTGCCTCTCACTTGGAAACTGGTAACCTGTAACTCTGAACATTCCTCTCAGGAATAAACACTCTCAGGTCCCAGGGAAATGCTTCTCCACTTGCTTTACGTCCTCAAAGCAAAACATGACCGCGCCTAATGCTGTAATTTTTTTTGCAGCCATTATCATGGTCAGAGGTGGACCCTGCTTCAGAGGGCAGTGAGAGGAGGAATGCTTAGTCTGGTAAGAACATAGCTGAATTAATCTATCAGAGCCTTCCTCTCAGCATGAATGCAATTCTTAAATAACAAGGTACAGTTTCCTTGTCGTAGTGAATATCAACTTTCTTTCTCTTTCTGTTTCCAGAGGTGCTCCTGAGTTAGCACAGTATTCATTACAATTGCCCATGGAGACAGAAATATGTTGCAATATTAAGCAATTCATATCACTTTTAAATTTGTAGATGTGTGGGTCTAGAAGTTTGATATTGGTTAGTTCACACTGCTTGGTTCTCATTACACTACATTTAAGAGATAGTTAAAATGACAATGTAAATGAGTAGTTTATGTGATGAAATTAACATTTTCTGCAATAATTCATGGGATATGATCCCATTACAATGTTTGGACATGATAAGTAAATTTCATGATTTATTTTCAACTCTGTCTCAGCACAGTAAAGCTTTCTCAAATTGAAATTAATAAAAAATGTCAAAAAGCTACACTGGCTCAAAAAAGATGGTCTCACTTGGGAGCTTTGTGAACAGAACATCAACTATGTGAAAATCTTGTTTACAACAGCACAATTTATGATTTTACTGAAATAAAGATAAGAAAAATTGATTTTTTGGAATAAATATGTAAAAAAGTATGACTCACAAAAGTCGTAATTTTATCATTCATCCAAACATTGCCAACTCAGCTTGATGCCCAGGAATGAGCACGGATAACTAAATTAATCATATTTGATATTTTGCCAACGTCAGTCATATAAAAACCGTAACATTATACATGTTTTCCATTCTTGTGGTTGTGAAGACATTTTTGTCGAACTTGATTTATAACTTTTAAATATTTCTACATATTGCCTGCGGCTCTCCCACAAGCTGTCCTGGCCTCAATGCTTATAAGGGAGGGAACTAACTTCCCTAGCAAGACTCTTATGGGACTCACATAAAATAATGGATTTATCAAAGTACTATATAAATTTAGTTATCATTACAGGCATTGCACTGTGCTACCCAGAACAGAACACACACATGTTGTATTATTACAGATGTTGTCTTTGGTTACATCAAGATTCATTTAGATTCCATATAATAAGTTTTTCTTGGTGGTAAGTGTCATGGAAGTAATAGAATAAGCTCCCAAAGGAGGTCTGTTAGTCATTTAAATAAAAGGACACCTGTCTTTGATGATTTAATTAGAGCCAGATTATAAGTAGAATCTGAAGAACATCCTCAGAGGTCCCTTTTACTTTATAACATTTGGGATTTCCCTGGGATAACAATCCTTGCTACTTTTACATACATTGTTACTCAGTTAACTGCATTACTTTTTGCCTCACTGCCCAAAGCTACAAGTCATCTGTGACTCTTCCTCCTCCTTCCCGTAACTAGTCACCAACTCCTGTAAATTCCCTGCCCTACAAATCTCTCAAATCTTTTTCATTTTG